CACTAAAATCAATTTGATTATATGGTATCTGATAGTTATCAGTGGTCTCACAAAGTTGGGAATTACTGCATGCGCGTGATCAAGCTGCCATGTTTATTGTAATATATGCAATTTGTAATCGGGCTAATATACTATTCAAAAAAAGTAGGGGATATTTGATTTTTAAGTGTTATTAAAGTCACCTAATGAAACTGACGAAGAAACAAATGACAAAATGAAATGAAGTTCACATTCATCGATTTATTCCAAATGATCGTTAGACTAAGTAAGGCACAGACTGACCATTATAAGGGTAAAATGATACCCGGGGTCAAACAGCAAAGTTACCACAGCATCACAACCAAGTCAGTAACGGGTAAATCCTCCTCTGTTTGCCAAACAAGCATTGATCCGACGTGGCATACTCCTAATGAGACGTCTAAGGTCATTTTGGTCCAGATTGTCCCATTCCTGTTGCAACGCAGCAGCAAGTTCTTGGACATTGGCAGGACGTTGTTGACGTTGACGTAACCTCTGTCCAAGCATGTCCCAGACATGCTCGATGGGGGAGAGGTCGGGACTCAGTGCTGGCCAAGGTAATGTGGTGATGTTCTGTTGTTGGAGGTAACCTGTAACGATCCTGGCCCTGTGACATCTTGCGTTGTCATCCTGGAAGATGAAACGGCGGCCATGACGTCGTGCGAACGGCACAACATGGACTGCCAAGATGTTGTCCCGGTAGTACTGGCCTGTAACACGCCCTGCAACAACATGTAAAGCCGTTCTTCCAGCAACAGTGATGCCTCCCCACACCATAACAGAACCACCCCCAAATCGATCATGTCTCATGACGTTAACGTCTTGGAAGCGCTCGTTTCGACGACGCCACACCCTCCTACGTCTGTCCAAAAAATCAACAGTGAACCTTGACTCATCTGAAAACATCACATTGCTCCAGCGTCGATTATCCCAGTGTTGACGATCCCTACACCAACGACGTCTTGCCTGAATGTGATGATCTCTCAAACAAGGGATCACGCGAGGACGTCGGGCGCGAAGGTGACCCCTAAGCAGTCGATTCCGAATCGTCTGGCCACTCACTCTCACACCAGTGTCTGTTTGAAGACGAGCGCTGATCTGATTTGCTGTGATGACACGATTTCTCAAGGCCAAGGTACGGATAAATCGATCCTGGGCTTGAGTTGTCGCCCTTGGTCGACCTGAGCGTGGTCTGTCCTGTACAGATTGTGTATCACGGTATCTGGACCATAGCCTGCTTATGACAGACTGAGAAACATTCATCGTCCGCGCCACAACCGCCTGTGTTGTGCCGATCTGTAGCATGCCAAGGGCACGTAACCTTTCATTTTGGGTAAGCCGACGCATATCAAAATTTGTTTTCTGGTCACTAAAACAATTAAACTGATGTTTCCACCCTGGAATTCAATGCCACAATGACTGTAACATTCAAAGTCAGAGTCGTGCAAATCTTGGGTTGGACCCCCATGATGATCCCAAGCATCACATGCATTCCATGCGGTAGCTATTGGTGCGTTTGGGCGTCACATGTAACTGGAAATGTTTCTTCTGTTAGGTTCTATAGTGACTTTTTTCGTAGTCATTTGCATATTTTAGTATTATGCCCCCAAAATCAAATATCCCCTACTTTTTTTGAATAGTATATAAACGAACATAGCCTTGTCCTAGTTTTAAAGTTTATTACACTATGTAAAAGTCTTCTTGGAAGTTCTTTCAACTTGTCACATGTACAATTTTCCGGTTTATCTGGTTTATATTTATGTAATTTACAAATTCTTTATGACTAAAACTGTACTTCATTAACAAATTTCAGTGTTTAGGCACTACAGATCGTAGTACATATATCAAAAGTTTATAATACTAATATTGGTAAATCACCCCGTTCCGAACGCATAATAACTTTAAAACAATTCTGAACATGGAATGTCAATTGTTTCAGCAGTTGTTTTCAGTATTGCATATTGCAAGCTTATGGTAACTCTGGATGCAGTTTATGTGGTCATTGGTCATTTAGGTTCACAAAATTTCGATTGGGGAACTCCATATTAAGCTACAATTATGTCATATAAGAGATTAAACAACATTTATGGATATTTCTAATCAATTATCTAGGCGATTTTAACCAAATTTTAAATAAAACAACGACAGGAAGACGTGAAACTGTTATCTATTGATATATGTTCACGTGTAGTACAAGGAAAAACCATTGGACCAACCGCGTGGTTTTTTCATCTATGTTTCACTCATCAAAATGTTATAGTTGATTTAGAAGTTCTAAATCTGATACATCTAGCATAGCTACGTGACGATTTAACATATTTTACCATAGCATTTAACAATAAACAAGTGAAAGAAAGCGTCCAACACTTGCTAATTACTTATCATTTCTGGTGGATATGTATATTTGCTATTTTTAGTTTTTTGGGGGCGATTTATTGTTAGTAAAGTGTGTGAAAGGGACATTTTTCTCTATACTCCAGCGGATTATAAGGATAATGATTATCGCACGCGGCCTCAATGTTCCTAATGGATTAATGTTAGTCCATTCGGGTACAGCTCACCAATTATCCCTACGCGCTGGTCACCCACGAAGTAAGGGTCAAAGCTAGTTTTGGTCTTTCTCTCACCCCACCCCCACCCGCCTTCTGCATGACGATCTTTGTTGAATTTTAGGTTTAATATTGAAGAAAATGGTTTGTTTGAATATACATTGTCTGTCAGGTTTGGGAGAATATTCATGATTTTGAGGCGTAAGGATAAAAGAGTTAAGAGGTTGGTTAGGTTAAAATGTAGGGCGGAAGATTGTATGTTTAAAGGTCTCTACTTCCAGTGTGTGTATCTCAAGTTTTCCATGGTGAACCTCATGCCTGCTTTTGATCAAGAGGTTGCCATATGTTGCTCCATCTGTGGTAGAAAGCTTTCAACCCCACGAAAGTTTGGAAAAAGGTTAGAGCCGGTAGAGACGAGAATTAACAATGTCATTGGGGACATTAATGGTGATCTGTGACAATTTGGTATGGACCCATTTTGCAAACATCCGAAAATACGACATGAAATAAAGAGATGACCTGGTTATAACTATTATTATTCCATTGTTATTCTCACGTGTGCTTAGGTGTTCTCAATAGGTTCACTGTGTATGTTTTTCTGAAACCGCGTATCGCCCCTTTTATTAACTATTTACCTGCAAACGAATTTTCTCATTTTCTTATCGCCGAGAGTTACACAAAGCTGAGATTGTTGCTCAGACGCTGGTTATAGTGATCCCTGAAGCATCGATACCGTAAAAGCTATTTGTAGTAAGATACAACAAACGGAAAGGCTGTAACCGTTGTCTTGGCAAAGTTTTATTTTGATACGCTTAATTAGAGCCACCAGGCTGTTTTTAAACTTTGACGTACCAAGGCTATCCAATGTACTTTTAAGTTATGGTACCCTAGGATCTATTTTCGCCTGAAATAAAGGATGTACATCGCAGATCTGCCACTGGCAACTTCCCTCCGTTTTCGCCTGGAAATGTGTACCGTTGCTTCATTAAAATTTGGTACACACAATTTACATGATGATTTGTTGTTGAGGAAATCGGATGAAAAGGATAGAAATGAATACCAAGAAACAGAAACGAGAACAGAAATGCGAACGGATTCTATACATTCAGTAACTGGAATGCGGAACGGTTCTATATAAACAGGATTGCGAACGGAAATGTGTGAAGTCTTTCCGCAGATAGTTAACCTAGAATATCTATGATATAATAAGATTTGAATGCATCCTTCCGCATTATGTTATTGTCGCATTACTTTTTGTACGTTGTAAACATAAATCGGGTTCAAGGTCTTGTAGTATGTGTTATCTGATTGAATTAATTAGTCGAATTGTGCATTAAGTGTGGGTGGATTATTAATTACAATTTAGCCACATCCCTAAGTCCAGATGGCATAAGAAATTAATAATGCCGATGTTGACATTTTCCTTCATAGCAATTGGAACAATTAACCAGGTGTTTATAATAATCAATGAATTACTGCTGGCTTATTTGCTTAGATTGTTTAAGACTTTTCAGATCCACTCTTTTTATTGTAGCAAATGCTATATATAATAAATGCATATTCATAATTACTGCGATTATCATACTTCTGACATACATAACAAATTATTATGCAATTATACAAAGAAAGCTCAAGGCTCATTGGAGTATATACGTAAAATTTGGGCGTGCAATCTCTGATCTCGTGTGAGTTGCATAAAGCTCAATGTCCTGAAGAGCGCAAGTATTCCTGTGGGAAAATCGGTGGCACAAATTAATTATAATTTATATATAGGAAAGCCTTTAACTAGAAACTTGTTAGTTTTCTTTGGTTTCTTTCTCTTCAAGTGTATTCCATAGTTCAAATAAGCTATTCCCATGACGCGGCCGCAAACTTGTTATACATATATATATTAGTAATGCTAAAAACAAATGTAGTATATATACATTGTGTAATGCGAAAATTATGCGTTAAAAACATGCACGCTGTACATGTAAGCATAACATGGTTAATTTTCTATATAATTATATACAAGAGGGTAACAAATATACTGTCAGCACGGTATATCACATAGTTAAATGTAGACGAAATGAATCACAAGTTATGCGAACAGCATGCGAAGTATCTACTATATGGAAGCATAGAATAAAATAAGCCATTGAGATTTTGAATCTGTCAGGGTATTACGAAATTCCAATTGAAGCAGTATAAGAATTTCCCTTAAGCATCCTTATAGTATAATTTAGTATATTTCAAAAGAAAAGCATAGCATAAAGTAAATGTTTTCTTCCTTTATCATGCATTGCAGATAAAGTTGCATGTATTTATAAAAGAAATCCCATTATACAAGTTCAAGATAGGCGGGGGCTATAGTTCTAAATAATTTGATAGAATTGGAGAATGAATAAATGTATAATATATTCATCTACCAAGCACCTTTCATAAAATGCCTACCATATTCTGATAATCCGAGATAATCGTTTCGAGGTTTAAACTTTTTATATTTAACTCTCCCTAGAGAAATAGAATTAAAGATTAGGAACAAAATAAATATTCAGCACACAATTACTTTATTCTTTATGGCAGTCAGCAGTCAGCTTTAGTCATTAAAGAATTTAAAGGACAATGTGTGTTTAGATTGGAATAAAAGTCCAAGATATGAAACCCGTAGATTACGTCCCTTTTGTCAGATTTGGACAAGTGTATGAGTGTAATCTAGCACGCCTTAATCCACGGGAATTCTATTTTACATTCTGGAATTAAAAAAAACATCAAATCTAATCAAATCCAATAATTAAAGGGACAATTAGTCATTGCTACAGACTGCCATTTAAAACTCATAATTGAACAAGTTAAAACATACAAACAGGGTCGTCTTGAGTAATAATAATAGTAATGTCCAGCTGTAGGAACCAAGAAGAGATAACATCATCCAAAATATCAACTTTTTCTGATCCATAAAAACTAAACTGAGCCATTATGTTTTATAATATAAAGCTTTCAGATTTGATTTAAACGTTCTTGATTTAATGCATTTCCTTCAAGACTCGTTGATTCAAAACGTAGATTTGTCAAATTTCCAGATATTTTAACACAAAGCTATCAGTTGATAGATGATGCAGATGATGTAACAATAGACACCCAACAAAAAAAAAACAAATATATCTAATGAAAGGTGATGATAAAACTGCCAAGACCGTTCATAGATAGATCTCCCAGATGCACTTGTTTACATAGCTGAATCTAGATATCTGTCATTGTTTCAAAGATGTCAAAATAAAACATTAAATGTTTGCCAATGATTTAGAGCTAGACATATGTCAAGATTTACAACCTTTTTTAAAATTTGATATCAAAACTTTTATCTAAGAGACCTGTTTCTTTCATATTTCTTTCTTAGATTTACAAGGTTATTTTGTAAAAGTAAACCGGCTCATCTTCTTGGAATTTAGTGTTTTACAAATTTATTTTTGAGAACACTGGTTGGTATATTATTACTTCAAGACGATATGTTATTCAAATATATAACAAAAAAATAAAACGAATAAAAATATTAATGTTATACAACAAAACAAAACAAAAAAATGCATGCATTATACAAACGTCAATGGAACTGTTAATATTAAAACTAAAATAAACAGTGCTACAAATTTAAAATTCAAACAACAAAACGTGTTATTTTAGACCACATGCTAACGTTATGTTTGTTTAGGGTAATCCTTCTAATACCGATTGTAAACTAATATTTAGTAAGTCTACTATGACAAATTATTAAATTATTGACCTTTTAACAAAATCGTTTCCTACATCCCCTTTAGTACACTTAACAAACATATTTCATAACATATATATTGGGTCTTATTGTGAACAAATGTGCACATTTAGTGCTGCTTTCCATGTATTATTTGAAAATCTGTTATTTTCTCTACAGAATCTACTAATAAAACAAAATGCTAAATAATATCATGAACATAAGTCAACATACCTTGTGATCGTATAACCTGCAAATAAAAAATGAAACAATTTAATTTACATGTATATATAAATTATTACCATTTTGAGGTGCTATATATAGTTATGATATTCTGGACAGGTATTTCATTCCCAGTCCATCAATAATTCTCCGTATTAATATAACAGATGACAACTATAGCTTGAAACAGAAAACTAAAACCCTGTTGATGATCAAAAGGAGTCGGTAGTGACTAAATCATAAGTGGGTTCGATCCCTGCATTGGCCGAGAAAGTTCACTCAGATTTTCCGGCGTCGTTTCCCCTTGTCAGTGATGCAGGACGGAGAGCCTGACAAGGACAGCTGTCTAGTCATTCGGATGAAACGAAAAACCGAGGTCCCGTGTACACATTGGCGTGCTCGTAAAATATTCCTTGACAGTTGGAATTCGATATAAGAGTAGGCCGTAGTGCCGCTAACGGGCAAAAATTTCCCTTATAGCACACATTGTTGGCGTATGTCCGTCTTCATTAGCCCAGTTCGGAGCAAAACAGTAGGACGTTAATCCCCATTTCATTTCATAATGATACATGTACTAGCAGTAAGGTTAGTATGAAACAAGCTCGATTTTAACATTGGTGGGTCCTAGAGCGTATGAATTATGAATTTGAAGGTACGGATTGAGGTAAAACTTGAGTAATTTGTGTGGGCTTTAGTCAATATTTACTATGATTTAACATTATCAAGCATGTGTATACATAAAATCTATTTATATCTAATATGTGGGTAATATCATCTTATCACCTGCACCAACTCTAATTTTATCGTTTCATCAGTCCCGAACTGCTTACTGCAACAAAATCAGTTTATCTACCCAGACGATGAGTTTTGATTACAGGCATTTCAATTTTACAAGGATAAACGTACACTGTCTAGTAAATATATTGGAAATGTGGAATAGCAAGACGCAAATGAAGGGAATTTTGTTGGTCACGTTTCGATACATCTCTTTCTATATATAAATTTGGGAATTTGAATTGTGGTTTAAGAGAATATGTAAAATCTTGAAAATCGTAATTAGTACCCCGGGTTTGAATCGCACCATAATCTTCAAAGAACCTTCAAGAATGGCGTCTGTAAGGCTGACAAGAAAAGCTGCCGAGTCGGTCACGTGTGTACACATTTTTGTGCACGTCAATGAACCCCTGGCAACTAAAGAAAACAGACAGAAATGCAACTGTCTGGACAAATTCCCATTACCTCGTATTGCACAAGTATCCATAGGAATAAAATTACCATATATTTTTCAAAACAGGTTTAATACCCCTCTCCATTCCTATAGCCTCATGTACCAATAGAAAACAGCAATTGTATCTAATACAATGACAAATGACATGAATAGATAATTCTAGCTCATAAATTTCAATCCATATTCAACTGACTACCGCAGCATTAAATAGGATGCTTTCAATGTCATTATCGTATATTTTATCGTATACTCACGGACTTTAAGGAGATTGGGGATTGTTAATGTGTCTAGCTTTCAACAACTATATTTAAGAACTCGTAGCTATAGAACTTTGGTTAGAACGTTTGTACTGAAATCACAGGGACCAGCCTCAAAACTGCCTGGACTATTGGTGCGTTTACCTTTAAGTAGGTACGAGGAGGAGGGGGGGGGGGGGGCATGCTTATTCTGTCGAGGAGTTTATATAGCTAACGGCATATTTATTTACACTATATCTTTAGTCGCTACTATCAAGCTATTAATAATTGGTTGTCGCTGATTCAGATCAGATAGTGGCATATATTTTAACTTGTACAATGTTTACTCATTCATTTGAAGATGTATTTGTTTTGACTAGAGTTGACCATATATCTTTATAAGATTAACAATACTGACAAGGAATTGAAATATTCACAAAGGACTGAAAAACTGTTAAATGGGGTTGTCTCGGGTCAACAAAGATGTATTTAGACATTACAATTCAAGACATCGGGTGGTAAAAAGCTTATTTGGTGAACAACCTTAGTTTTACTGATTGTTAAATAAGATGTTCATAATACGCATGCTTCTATTTCTGGAGCAACACGTTTAACCATCGATGTCCATGGTAGTTATCTTTATTGGGAAATTACCACTATTTTCACAATCTACAGCCATAAATATACATAGATGTGCATTTCTTAATGAAGTGGATACGTAAGTAGTAAATTGTCGACCGAAGACAGAACTGCACCAAATGTCCAACAAAAATTACTTAAACATACATTATGCAAGAGCAAAATCTGCCTATTGCAGGTCTTTCTTTAGGCCTGAAATGTGTTCTAAATTATTATTTAGACATTAATTAACATATCCAGGCCATAATCCACTCTCGAAGGCATCGGATTTCTCCGATATTAAATAGATTAGAACAGTTCAGCCATATTTTGATTTAAGCTGAAAATGGAGGAGCGAGACTTAGCTTCGAACAATCAGTACGGTGGTTGAAATTATTGCACACATCGTGTCACTAGATCTTTATCCAAATCTTACATAATGTATCTTTCAAGGCCACGTCGTACAAGCTAATTGATGAAATAAGAGTATATATGTTAATCCTGAAATGACATAGTGTTGAATGGATTATAAATATTGTAAATATTGTATGACTAGTAATGGAAATGTGAAAGGAATTTGAGAGGTAGACATTCAGTGCTGCTTTGGGGTCAGATTCCGTTGCGTATTTCTACCATTAAATCCCCGCCATACCAATCTCAAAATAGATCAAGAAACTATCTAAATTTATAGGAACCCCGCTATGTTAGTACGTTAGATAAGTACATTTTCCTTAGATCTCCACAGCATCTCATTACCATATTATTGTACATGACCTAAAACAACATTGAATGAACCGTGCGAAGTTCGTGATGGAAATCTCTCTAACCAAGTAACAAAAAAAGATTACTTTTCATAAGAAAATATATTAATAACGCCCACACCCTGAATGCCACCCTATAACTAAACATTTACACGATGTTATTCCTTTGGTGTAAACATCAAATTAACGCGCGAACAGATGTTGGATAATTGAAAAGTAGACGTGGTTTCTGAAAAGACGTTGTCTTCAATTGAATAAGAAAAACAGATGCGATGCCGTCAAGATCTTGTTAGGCAATATACATCATTCAAGTGTACAAACACTTCAAATTAAGCCAGATATCTAACTAATTTGTGTGGAATTCTTCGATGTCTAGATTTTGCTATGTGTTATCACGTACAAGCCTGACGATGGATGTATCAGTAGTTAAAAGGCTGGCCACCTCTTGGGTTAAATATGGTATTTGGTTGAGTAGACAATAAACATGATTAGTTCAGATGAAGGCAATCTAGTAGCCTAAACAGTAAATACGCTACTGAATTAGTAGACTGGTATCTGGATTAACACTAGTAATTTTTGCCGCTGATTTAACGAATGTACGCGCGTATTTCGTCTATTTATAGCAATTCACCTCTTTCTTTCCTCTGTTTTACATTCCACCTTTTGTTGACATTCGTCCTTGAGTCGACGAAGAGTGTTTGAATTCAGATTTTCTGTCAGGTATTAAGGAATATTCATGATATGATGTTGAGCCAGAATGACTAGGAAGTAAACAGCCACAAAATCGTCACGGCCTACATATTCCTTTTTACCAGGCATAAACTTATTGAGACAATCAACCCCTTATATATTGTTGTTCAGATATTAAACCTTTCCAGTTCGTGTATTTTAATGTCAAAACATTGAGGTTGTGTGGTATTCAACATAAGTACAACATAATATCTACACGGGCAGGGTATGCTTACTGGTTCTAGAACACTTGATACCACTTCTCATTTGGGGAGTTCACAAATTTTTGTTATCATTTTTCTTTTAAGAGACAACGATTATAAAGGAAAAACATTTAATTTAACTATTAAAAAGAAACACTTTCTCGGTTAGTCATTTTGTATTTTCGAGAATAGATACATGGAATATTGTTTAACTATCTTGCATAGAACATTGTCCTGAGATAATGGACCTGGTTATTGCACGGTTGCCTAGCTTCTACTTTATATTAGTAACCTGAATATAAGATGTAGTTTATAAGGAGGCCTGCCTCCTATTTTTCCTAATCTGCATTATGTTAAAATCTTTTTAAACACAATGCGCTAAAAAATAAGAATAAGTTGCTTTGTCGAAGACCGTGATGCATATTATCATACTTTAATATCTTTTCAGCACATTAGTAGCTTTATAATAGCGTGTAAGAGCTAAATTTTATGAAGAAAAGGTAAGACCACTATAAGTTGAAAAGGATGTCTATTCATAAAATGTACTTGACATAGTTACGCTCTTAACATAAACTTTAAAATATTTAATGGTGTTTATCAAATATGACCGTGTTCTGCTAGTCACTGACATAGAACAAACACATAAATCGAATTCCATATTTCTTAGTCTATGGACATTTGACTGAAGCGTCCCCTAAATCAGTTAGAGTGGTGTTGCCATAGTCACAAATTATGTTTTCAAAGCTTTTGAGTGAAACTATCAGAGAACTAAAAGTGATCAAGTCCTTTATTGATTCCTCGTCAAATTGGGCGAAGAAACAATTTATTATTTAATACGCAATCATTTGGTGACTTAAACAGAAAAGGAATGTTCTTTACCCTGGGGCAGCATAATATACAGAATCATAAAGAAGTAAAAATAGTTTTTTCATTGTTTCAAACCTTATGCTAATGACTCGTGTTTACGTCCATCATCAATAATTGGTCTGGTTTTATGGTAAATTGCTAAAGTCAATAGTAACGTTGTTTCAACCAACATTTCTAAAAGTCCAAAGCACCGCTTAAATGTCTCTTGGGAACTTGTTTTTTATTTGACGAGATTTAATAATTTATTGGTAAATGAATGATTCGGCTCCGTTAATAAATTCATATTGTTAGTTTTTATTCGCCCACGTTTTCATTTGGCTATTTCCCAGGTTGTATAAACGAAGAATTATGAATTAGCTGATATAATTTCTTATTGTCTCTAATGC